TGTATTTTCACTATAACTCAGTCAAATCTTGCTCAAATTTAATAATTAAAGTTTCTATTTGAAGCATATTTAAAAAACATGAATTTATGTCAAATAATCACTGAATTCTGTACAGAATTGAGTGAGAAATAGCTATTTTTTTGTTTTGTTTACTTTTGTGACAAAAAATGATGAATCATCAAGTGTGACAATACTTATGAAAAAGGCAGTAATATATTGTAGAGAACTTATTATATAATTATAAAGCAACATGCTCTTGTATTTATACTATGGTACATATACTACTTTACATAATAAGTATAAGAAGTCATGTGAGTAATACTATGTTACATCTGTATGTTAAGTTGTGTATTTACTACTTTGCTAATATACTTAAATATAATATTTTGTTTAATATTATAGTTTTAATACTCTTTCAAGCTCTAATTGGTTTGTCTGAGATTTTGTATATTAATTAGAGCTTGATTTGTAGAAATGTATAATGCTTTTATTAAAATAAAACTGACTTAAAGAGTTAAGCTGTTTTTTATATATTCCTTTTGTTAGAGTAATGTGACTCTAATAACTTTGTAATTCTTTTTCTAAGAGTTACTTCTTATAACTTGTTTAAGAACTGTTTGTTACTATACTAGTTTAACTTTCTTATATTCTAGATTAATCTTTTAATACTTTCTTACTATACTATTAAGTCTTTTACAACTTTGTATAATTCTTTCTGTTAGGGGAGATGTGTTTTCTCTAGGTTGATAGTACTCTCAAACTGTGAATGTAGACCTGCAGCCCTTGATCCAACTATATTCTCAAAGCTACTGGCTAGGATTTATACTAAGAGAACAAGTAGGAATATAAGAAGAGTCAAAAAACTAAGGAACTACTGTATTTACAGACTACTTTTTATAATAACTAAATAACAAGAGTAAAGTGAGGAATGAAACTTGAGAATAAGATGAAAGAAATAATAAGGACAAATATTGTAAAGCTAACAGGCACATTAGAGGCCAGGAAGAAATAACAGAGTGTTGTACATTAGAGAATATAGACTAAGAGGCTATTACACAAAAGAGGTACAAGTTACTATATTAGGCAGGAAATGGATTGACTGTGTTGTAATTATATACACTGTCTCATGTCTCTGTAACTCTCTCCTGTGCTCAATACTAAACTGATCTACATGAAACTTTGTAAGACAATAGATAAGATGTTAAGGATTATGAAAATCTGGTAGTAATGTTGGTTTTTTGTAAAACTGACAGAGATATTAAGAAAATAAAATAGGTCCAATCTTACAATCCTAACATTACCTCTCTCCTTAGGTTGTACATCCTGAACAACTGAATTTTAGAGGCTATTTTACTTAAGTAAAGTGTTAAAGTCTCTAAAGGTTTCCTTTAGAATGTTTAGTCATCTTAGAACACTAGGGTAGGCTTTGTAAAAGTCTCTAATAGTATTCTAAGTATAAGTAAGGTTATTTTCAGACTACTAAGTTGTTTCCTAGTATCCTACCTATTTGACAAGGAACTGAAGCTTCCTCTTATAGAGTTGAGAGTTAAGAATAGTCTCAATTTCATATTTAATCTTATCATCTACAAGTTCAGGGGAAGGAGGAGGAGGAGCCTTCTGAATATTAAAGACTTGAGGAACATATAGTTTGAGCAGAATCTTATTGAACACTAAGTGAATCAACTATCCCTAAGATAGTTTAAGCTTATATACACTAGCTCTAACCTTTGAGTCAACCTTAAAAGGACTAAACTACTTGTTATTAAACTTCTTAGTAAGTCTAGTAGTCTTTATATTCCTTAAGTCTAAACACACTATATCTTCTAGCTTATACTATATAGAGGGGCCTGAATAATGATTATAGTACTTCTTTATAGTTTTAGCAGTTTAGTCTAAGCTTTTCTTTGTAAGTTCCTAAACATCTTTAATATACTTAACTTATTGTTTAACAGAATATGTACTAGTCTCAGTCAAAACTGATTCAAAGCTTACAGAGTGTCTTCTAGAGTTAACATAGAACAGAGAGAACTTTGTAACAAAGTGTTCTTAATTGTTATATACAAATTCAGCTATAGAAATCTATTCTGCCTAGTCTGACTATTTATAGTTAATATACAAGTAGAGATACTGTTCTATCTCTTACTACTGTTTTCAAAATACCTGGCACTAATGTGTTTTGTGACAATTTGTCACAATAAACATGTCAGAATACAAAATTCACTATAACTCAATCAATACTCAACCATTTTGTGTGATTTAAGTTGCTAAATTCATTAATATAAAATATATTTCATATTCTAACAAAAATGGAGAAAATTGAGTAAAAATTGGCTGAGATACAGTACAAAATGTGAATTTTCTATGTAACACTCATTTTTATTTTTTCTCTGAATCAAAACTAGATATATAAGCTTGGAAAACTGTTTATTCTAGTCAGATACATTAATACTTAATTTACATAGTCAATTTTTTGTGAATAGATTGCTTATTCTGCTTTACTGAGAGGGGGCTAAAATGTGTAAAACTAACTATTTTACTTTATTCCCCCCTACACTCAATAAATTATTCTTGACCTCAAACTGTATTCCT